CGGAAGCCCCTATGGGAGAGGTATTAACAGGAACTCTTAGGGTGTTCAAGATGAACATGGTGCTTCATTCCATTCACCATCATCCGACTATAATAATAACTATAATGCTCATCCCAAAGATCGAGTTCCAAAAGTGTTTAGAGGAATGGGAGAAGCGCAATATACATTAGCAAAAGTTTATAATATGTAATGAGGACTACATTGAAGGTTTCATAGTTAAATAAATAAAATCTTTTTCAAAACATGACCACTCTTGATACACGTGGCTTGGTAAACTTACTGGAGGGCGATAAGAAGCTCTGAAGAGGATCCCATTCTATGTATAAGAAAAAAAAAGGGATTGATACGTCAACAAATAAAAAGAATAATCATCAAATTTATGTAGTTTATTAAAATTGTAAATGACCTAACTTCCGAAAAATAATAATTATTCCACAATTTAATATTTAAGAGTCGAGGAAAAAAAAAAAAAAAAAATGTATATATATATACTGTATAGGTTCTACAGTATACTAAAGTTCTTATGCATAAACGCAACCTTGAATTTCTAAAAGGTTAATATTTGCTGCATCGAATGGTAAACGTGCGAAGCGAAGGTGGGCAGGCATTAAAGCCAATCTGAAGGGACTAGGTTTGGACGACGAACGGTGGATGGAGGTGTGTAATAAGCGATTGGTGGTGTCGGCATCGAACCTTCGGGTTCGCTAAGCCTTTTATTATTATTATTCTATATTCTTTATCAGTTTAAAAAAAGGTATTTTCCTGGAGTGGGAAACAATTAACTTTTCACCACTAACTTAACCATTTTACGTCATTTTTTTAGTTCTATTGGATATTTAGGAAGCTCCTTAAGATTCTCGCGATGCTCAGTAGCGATTATTATTATTATTATGAAATTATATTTACAGAAAAATCTTTGCTCTCTCTGGAAACTGGAATATTAAGAAATATCTCTTCTTTGTTCATTCTACCTGATTTATATTCAGATGCTGTAGGCTGTGGGAGGAGGGAGGTATGTCAACTAGCATTTATGTGAGGTAACTGACCCCTAGTTAGTCTGTGAGGTCGTTCAAAACTAATTAAAATCAGTTATAGATTATGTCTGACGTCATCAAACTGTGAGACGCATGTGCAGTACGGTATATCCGTTCCGAATTTTGTACCGCGCCTGCGCAGCGACCGGAAAACTAGTAGTGCACATGCGCCAGGTGGTTTGATGATAATCAAAACTTGTTTTGCAACGGATCTAATATGTATATTATTATAAGACTTAGGAGGCAAGTACTGACGGTATGCATTGCCGTTCCTCTAATTCAGTTTGAAAAGGAGTACTTTATTTTAATTTTATTAATTATACGGGAATCGTTTTAGCTAATTTGAAAAATAAAATAAATGATTAAAAGGCACCCCCACTCCTTGCTAATAATCTCCAATATACTTTTGTATTTTTGAGGATTACGAGAATGGTAATAATGATTAAAAACTTTTGGGAATGATTTCATCCGTGATAAAACAGAACTATTGTTCCAACTTGAGATAATACAATCGATATTATTAGTTAAGATAAATGAGAAGTACCTATATTTAAGGTTGAGATAAAACACGAAATTTTCTCTAAATAATTCTTTATTTTTGTTATTGCCAATTTTAAGCTTTTTAAATTAACCTCTTTTCCTAAAGATTTTAATGATTCCATTTTTCCTCGTTTGAAACCGACCACAGGATAACATTCAACTGAAAATATTCCGTCGTAAAATCTTTTTTTTTTTTTTTTTCAAGGTTTGAGGAATAAATAAATAATCTATTAATATTAAGTGGAAATAGTGAACTAATCGATTACCTCAATGCGGTTATCAAAATGTTAACGATATTCATAAATTAATTGAAATTTTATTTTTTTGAATTATTCAAACAACTCATAACTCTTAACAACACTTTTCTTTGAAATTCAATTGTATTTTATAACTGAGTCTGAATATTAAAATGAATACTAATGATTTAAAAAACTATATAATTCCCATGCTATTTTCACTATAAATTAATTTTAAATGAATTAATAAATAAATGTAACTAAAGCAATCAATTTAAAGCATACCAATTCTGCTCACTATAATATAACTAATTAATTAATTAGTAAATAATATAACTCATTTTTAACTTGACAAACCAAAAATATATTACACTAGAGGCCCTGTCGGCCTAACCCATATTTTACAAATTAAACAACTGTTCATTTAATTGTACTCTCTTTGCTAAAATGGTATAACTGTATTTTACATATATTCTGTTGTTCAAATTGTATTTTTTGTTTGTATTATTGTATTGTATTATTATTATTTTTAAATCTAGATTATACATCACCTCTTATTGCTAATTTATATTATTATAAAATCATTCTTATTGCCAATTTGTAAGCATAATATATATTCAACATCCAGCTTCATATAAGCCCAACATTAATTTGAGTCTTTCATTTCTATTTCATAATAATTATAATTATGTCACAATATAACATAAATAATATTATATATTATATAATAAATATAATAATTAATATTTGGTATTCAAGGAGAAAATATCTAGATCTTAAAATAACTACCTAGGTAAAATCAAACTACCACCATCCAGACGAATAACATTTTCCATACAAATTTTTAATATAAATCTTTAATTTCTATTAGGAGAGTAGGGGGTTAAAGGAGCTCAACTGCGTAACGAAGACACCAGGGTGTAAATCTGTATTTTGTATTAGGAGAATAGAAGGTTTCAGGAGCTCAACACATATGCAATAAATTAAACAGCTGTATAATTAGTGCTAATTATAGAGCTAATAAGAGAGCTGTAATCTCCTACTCTCCTTATACTAAAAAATAAGACAGTCACTAAACACTTTTTTATATTTTAGAGATTATTTTTTTTTACATTCTCTATTACCTCAACGACTTAATATGTTTTAAATGTTAGATATCAATTTTTCTTTTTTTGTTTTTCGAGATAAAAAAATATGTTTTATTTTTTTTTCATTTACCAAGGTTATTAATAGTTTATATATATATATATATATATATATATATATATATTGTTTATTATTATTACTAACATTTTTTTTTTCAAATATGTTCAATTGCTTCAAAATAAGCAAAATTATACTTCTGGGTTACGAATCCCGGAAATTCGGCATTTAAGCCCTGTCAGACCATATCAGGATAATACTAATATTAAAGACCAATTAATTGTTATAAACAGTTTAGACAGAAATCATCAGAGCTATTTTTGAGAAAAAATTGTAAACATATGTAAAATCAATGATATAAAGTGGTATTTTCGGTGACAAGTTTGGCGAAGAAGATGCTGTAAAATCTTAGGAATGTACTTACTTATGTACACGTATAACGTGTAATTTGAGTTTCATTATTTTTGTTTTTGAGCTAGCCTCTTCACGGATACATACTCACAGACCGATTTTCGTAACATGATTATTTTATCATACCTACCTTCGCCATAGTTCTCCTTGTACATATATATATACATATATTTCATTTATGTGTAAGTGAAAGCAACAATAAAAAATAAAAGTATCCTTTAACATGGTGCTTGATGGCACATCCCTCGAGTAGTTGAGCTTTCCTTCCCACACATTACCCCAGATAACTTTATTGATAACTCTAATAAAAAGAGCTATAAAATTTATACAACCGTTGTTAGTAGTGTGATAGTTGTCAAGTTAACAGCCGCAATGCACCAGTTATCAGCTAATGGTCTACTTAACGAATACACTATAAACGTTACATCTGGTTAGTGAGGGGGAAAGTTAACCGTCTTCTTCTAATTTCTCCATCTCATATTTCTAACTGTTTAATGTGACTGTAGCAGGTCAACGAAACAATAAAAATATTGAATACGCCAATTGTGAATTCATATTGAAACCAAGAGAATTAATTTGAATATAATGAACGATACTTGAATGTAATAAAATAAGCTTATTTGAAGACGTCTCATGACTTTTATTCCGAAAGGTTGAAAAAAAAAGTGCATGAATATAATCATTTAACAGAGAAATAAAAAAGAATTTTATTTTCTTACGAAAAAAAAGTATTATTCTCCGTCTCTGTAATCAATTTTACAGAGAAAAGAAGCAACCGTTTTTTAATTGGAATTAAACTATAGATTGTGTCTATATTGTACAATATGTATAGAGAGCGGTGTAGCTCAGTAAGTAAGGCATTGTGCTTCTACCCTTTAAGTCCTGGGTTCGAGTCCTGCTGTGGGAGCTAATTATTCTATTACATCACATCTGCCTTGGACGGATGCTTATGAGACCCTTCTTAATTGATTATTCAAATATAAAAATATCTTGCGAATAGTTATCATGCAAATTTTATATTCCAGCTTAATTAATTTTGTTCAGACTGAAAAAAAGTATTGGTCTCGTGAACTCCGAACAAACATATTTTGGATATTTTGTTCCAACCATTTTACGAATGAAAACCTGTTAAGTATATATCAATACCGTTAGTTATCACGATGGAAAATAACAGAGGGCAATAAAATATGAAATTATACTAATACATTATAAAGAAACAATTAGTTGATATGCTCTTCTGTAAAACATTCAATGTTTACATGAGACATTCTGCACTAACAGTAGTGATATGCATGTTCAGTATGCATTTTTTTTTTTTTAAGCAAGTATCATCAAATATGCAATCTGCAAATGTCGTACTCTTTCGCATTTTAGTATTCGCTGATGAACCCAATTTTATTCTCAAACGAAAAAAATTAGACCTTGTAATATAGATATTTTTTAGCCAATAAAAACGTTGAGGAAGCTATACTGACCTTACTTGGCAGATGTTTTTTATTATAGAAAATAATTAAAGGTAGGGATTGCCTCTAGATATAATTTTTTTTTGTCGAGGAATATGTTTGGATATGCTTTTTGATTTTTTAAGATGTTTGACCTAAACTTTCGTGGATCCGATTAAAAAATATTTTCTCATATGAGTCAATCGTTTATAGCAAATGATTTGCAGAAGCTTACTGAATCAGAAGATGATGTCCCTCAAGAAGATGGCTTCAGAATTGCAGACCTTGAGAAGAATCTTCAGTCTATTGCCACGCCCCGTGCATACTCAATATCTATCTTCTCATCATTCAATTCAGCCTCCATCATTCAACGACGTGAATCACTTCTTGTATCGAGTGAACATTCTTCTGCTTACTCGAGTGTTGATGCATGGGTCATCGCGATGACGCGGTGGATCAGGTAGCTGGTATTTCCAGGCAAGAGCTACCAGATCTTCAGATAAGAGGCTATAGATAGCAGACCTGATAAGTACTATCATCTGGTAGATATGGCACCTGAGGTAGGGGTCGTTATCAGAACAGTCAGTGATAAGGGGAGTTAGTAATGTGGGGCTTTCTCGCGCTCGAAGGATCTCAGCAGCTGTCGGAGCCTATACCATGGTGAGTCAATGTCTGTCTGAAACGGTCGTGTTGCGTGCTCAGTATCGTATCCGATCCGTAAAAGACAAGTAATATGTTTTATATAACGGAACTACATTCTGTCTCATAGTCTTTGTCTGTCTGAAACAGTCGTGTTGCGTGCTCAGTGTCGTATCCGATCCGTAACAGACAAGTAATATGTTTTATATAATGGAACTACTTTTTGCCTTATAGTCTATGTCTGTCTGAAACAGTCGTGTTGCGTGCACAGTGTCGTATCCGATCCGTAACAGACAAGTAATATGTTTTATGCAATAGAACTACATACTGTCTCATAGTCTGTGTCTGTCTGAAACATGATTTATATAATGAAACTACATTCTGCCTTACACTCTATGTCTGTCTGAAGCTATATTAGTCATTATAATCGAAATACATTCTGCTTTACAGTCTATGCCTGTCTGAAATAGGTGTATCGTGGTGCTCAGTGTCGTATTCTATCTGTAAGAGACCAGTAATATGGTTTATATAATCGAACTATTCTAAATCCTGCCTCAAATTCTACAGAACGAACGGTGAATGTGATCTCGTTGAGAAAACCAAGAAAACCTATTTGGTCTCCAATGTTTTTCTTAACAAGAAGCTAAGAAATATTATCAGATTATGATTAGTATTATGAGGAATGTGATTAATTTTAATTTCATTCACCGAGCTATATAACATCTCATCTTCTTAGAAATAAAATTTTGTAGAATATAACTTTTTACATATAAGTTATTTAAAAGTAGTCTGTAATAAAGGGGCTTTTTTCCTGTCTCAACCATCTTTACATAACCTATACAAGAAACGAAAGACATCACAATACAAATGTCTTCGATTCTTATTGAAATAACGAAGCATGAAAACAGTGAAAAGAAATGTCTTGGATTTGACTAATATAAATGTAAAAAAAAAAAAAATACTAAAAAAAATCTCTGATCACTTCAGAACTTTTAAAAATTAAATCTGTGGAAAACAATTTAAAAAATTCAAAATTATCTAAGATTTATTCGAAAAATACTAGTGTTTTTTTAATGGTTTTAAAAACGTGCGGAAAATGGGAAAAGCCGGCATTTAAACAAGCCCTTAAACCTTAAAATTAGTTTTCTTGTAGATTAATAAATTTAAATTTGAAAGATCTCAATGAGAGCTCTACAACTTTGCAATTATATGATATGGTATTTTGCAATTTTATGATATTTCTAACGATTTTTAACATATTTCAATTGTGGCCCGCTTACATGGGACACCCTTTATAAATAATTAGTTTTCAATTTTCCATTTAGATTAAAATAAAAGTTATTATCAAATATAGAGGTTAGATCTATGCTTACCACATCCTACCTAAAGATATTCACCGCTATCATATTATCTTAGTGTGTGGACTTCTATTATTTTGTAAATCGAATTTGAGTCGTTTCAGTTGTTGTTTACCGAGAGTTATGTAACTATTTTAAGAAGGTTTACATGCATCAACACGAGCTCTGTCGTAGTCAACAATTAACAACTAGAAATAAGATTTTTTTATTTTACGTTAATAAAATATCTATGGCAGTAATTTTGTATTTCATATTTTGAATCATCTTTGTTTTAAACATATATATTTATAATTTCGTTTTCAACTACAGTATAAGAAAAAAAAAAAAGTTTCATTAATATTTATCAAGGCGATTTGGATTTCGAGATTAATATATCCTGATATTTTAGATATGCAGAATTTGATTTCTTACATAAACATGAGGTTTTCTGTTAATCTGAGGATTTGTTTTAATATTTGTTGTTTTTTTATGAGAAAAATATTTGTGTGATAATTTTATCACATGAGTATGATGAGATATAGGATCTAATTCTGGATTATCATGGAACGACTGGGGTTCAGCTGTTTATTTTAAATTTTGATTTATGTCTATATTCATTTTTGAACTATGAGGAATTATTGCAAAATTCCAACATGTCTTACAAGCAGATTCACTGCTATGGTTGAATTATTTATACATTAATTTCATCTGCCAAAAAGACAAATACTATGATTATTTTTCAAATTTTATATCAGGGCATCTTTAATATCCCAAATGGACTTAAATATCTAACCAATCGACATTTTTATAATGCAGGCATCAACGGCTTCTGAAAGATGTTATTACGTTAAAGCAAAACAGAGCTAGCGCATCTTATAACAGTCTAAAACATAATCAGGAAAAAAAATATGAATAATAACGGAGATATTTCTGTATACACATTCCACTTTCTGTTCCATTCATTTTCAACTTCATTTAAAACCTCATAAACAATTTGTCAAGTGGGAAGTTTTATTTCTAACCTTATTTTCAAGTTCCAGTTGTAAGAAAATTACAAGCTAGCTAGAGATTCCAAACCTATCGACCATTAGTGGAAGAGAAAAGGTATAACAGTTTAATAAGTATGACTAGAAAATACGAGAAATTAGAGAGCGATGGATAAAATTTCGTACTAGGCGGTTACAATATTTACACTTTAACATATGGCGTACCCCCATACCAGACTGAAACGACTAGAAACCGCCCGACGTTTTCGACTACTGCAGCACTACTAGACAAACGCTCTAAGCTTTCAATCAATTACAAATGACTCATATATATGACAATAATAAGACCTATTTGGACATACGGAATTGAGCTTTGGGGCTCCACTTAACTATCGAATTCCTCTCGTATCCAATCCTTACAATCCAAAATCCTTCGTAAAATCATCAACGCTGCTTACTTTGTCACAAATAAAATCATCCATAAAGACCTTAATGTTCCATATGTTTCCGATTTGGCCCAATCCAGATACCTATCCTTCCATAACAAACCGCAGAACCATCCGAATCCTCTCGTTTCAAACCTTGCTTCTTCCTCGATCCCTGATAACCCTCCGAGGCGTCTGAAAAAAAGATGGCCTCGGGACCGTCTAATATAGAACTTTAATTTGAGTTCTACCAATGAGTAGTTTCTCTTCATGTTGTACATGTCATGTTACCAATGTCACATTTACTTATTGTATTTTCTATGTAATACAGTTGTAAATTTCATTAAAATAAAATGAAAAAAACAAAACATATGGCGTAAATTTTTAATTGTTCTGGACAAGTGTACTATCTACTAACATACACGGTTATGCATCCTTTATGAATAGAAACTGGAATCAAAATAACATATATCTAAACAATTTAAAACATAAATTAATGAAAAGAAATTGAAATAAGCGCGACTTTAAGTGAACTCTAAATAAAATGCCAATAAAAGTATTCACTCCATGTTCTATCGAAAATCTATGCTATTCATTAATTCCTAGGAGTGTTTATTAAATTTCTTATATAATAATAGTTGTCTAGAGGCCATTTCCTCTCTTGCATTGATGAGAATATTAACAAAAAATATTTCCTGTCTTAACAGAGGAAGCGGATCCAGGATTTAATTTTTTTTTTTGTTGGGGGATGGAGGAGGGGTAAATGATTTAGAAAAACGGTAATTACTTTGGAAGAAAAGGAAAGAAGAGAATCACTTTATTTTCATAAAAGGGTGCTGCTCAATTATATTGGGTTGTTACAGACGCAGCATACTTATCAATCAATACAATGGGCAATTCTTAAAACTAATATACAAATATTAAAGTATCATTAATATATATGAGCATAGTAAACATTTCATTTTTACTTATATTTTTATTTATGCATTATTTTATTTTATTTTTTATTCTTTTTTCACTGTTTCTTTTATTAATATTATATTTTCCTTCTCTCCCTTTGTATATTTCTCTTATTTCTCCTCATATTTTCCCTCTCTCTCTCTTCCTAACTTAATTCATACTTTCTTATAACAAATTATACAAATAAAATAATTTTTAAGTGGTCCTAGAAGGCCTGTCAAAAATATATTTTGTTTTAGGGATAATGTTTTTATATTACATTTAGTTTCTGAAATAAATTCGTTATAATTAAAAAATAGAAAATATAGTAAATATTTAAATATTCAATTCACTTCACTGACAGGAATAAATATGGACAGATGAAAAAAAATAATCTGTTTTGGGATCCGTCAGTGGGTACTTGTAACAATATTTTAAAAATATATTTGTCTTTGTAGCTACTCCGTAAGATTTACATTTGATTCGTAAGCGGACCTAAGGTAATGGTTAGTTTGTTTTCTGTAAATAATCTGTTTGCAATGAGTGATTTGACAAGTAGCAGTGGATTGTCGATTGGAATATATTTTGTTCGTCCTTTATTATATTTAAAAAAAAAACTGTTTCGTCGTTCGTGGATCGACTCTGGAATAGGAAGATGCTCCTTGGGCACAACCAGCCTTTATTGAGTAAATAATTAAGGGAGAAAAACTCCCTTAATTTAATGATTTCGTCAAATCATCTCCTTGCACAAACATCGACCAAGACCCTTCATGGGTTGTAGTGGTTCAGGTTTTATTTTTTTTATTGTATTGTTCTCTACACACATTATATTGAGTCCATATTTCCTTCCCTGATCCGAGACGTTCAACCAACAAATATATGCTCAATCGATGAAGTTCTGTCTTTGATTCTGAGATAAACATCCTGTCCTGTTACGAGAGTAGGAACAAAAACGTAGGAAATTGGACGTTTGTAATTACCGATGGAAGGAGTTCACACAATTAAGCCATTGTCGGAAACTAGTGAGCCTTTGTTCGCTTCATTTTTTTTCTCTCTTCTTAAAACTTGTGAGAAGCACTTTCAAGGACTGTAGAGTTTGGTAGTTATTTGTCAAAGTTCGCCTTCTATTCTCTTCAAATTTATCCAATTACACGATACAGCGACACCATTGTTATGCTCAATGCAGAACCTGTCAACTGCAATGTATCAATGGACCTTTGTGAATGAGTTCGTTTTCAATAATTACACTCTATATGAATTTATAACAAAAGAGAATAATATCTAGATAAGATATAAATAAAAAACAGTACAACTTTGAATCACTTGATAAGACT